CGTGTTTGAAGTTTATGCTGCTCAAGTTGCAACAACAACAACAAATTTTTCGAATAAAAATTTTATATAATGAAAATATTTAATAAAAATAATTTTATTTCGCAACTCACACGATAACTGCCTAGTTAGAAATATTTTGTTCCTTGAAATTTTTTTGTTGAAAAATCATCCAATTAGTCTATCAAAAATTTTGTATTTATTTTGTTGGGGTGGCAAGCCAGATGTTACGAAATTTTCCAAATCGAACTCAGCGTCATCGTTTAGAGTTATAAATTTGCGAACTACATCGGCAGGTAGTATCGCGTAGGAGGGCCAATCGATGCGAACGAATCAATTAGCAAATAAATTAGTTGCCTGTAGTTATTTATGCAATTGAAGGAGCCAATTAATTGATTGTTTTAATTTTGAATTTTGAAAAAAATTGAAAAACAACGTCGCTTTGTCGTCTTCAACTTTTCAGTGAACGTTGACCTATTCGGGTTGAAGTTTTCCAACGAAATATATACCACATATATTCGTTTGAAATCCAATGAAGTTCCAGAAAAATGTAGCTGAACCAAAAGGTCTGTGTGTTTGTTGGGCGTGTGTGTAGGGCCCCGAGCAAAAATGTTATTTTGAGTGAATTATGTAAATTAGGGCATGGTTATTTGAACAACACTGGGTTCTTGCATGGTCATTCATTACTCGAGATTATAATCATCCATATTTTTAAAATATATAAACTAATGTTGTTCTAAAATTTGTTTCAGTGTTATCGCTTTGACTTCGTCAGACATTTTAATCCAGTCGGTTCGTGAAAAATTATTTCAAATTATTTTCAGGGCTAGCTTCAGTTACTGAGCCAGCTTCCTCCCATCACCCTGCTCCCTACCAGGGCATCCAGAGACCTTATTGTACATAGAGATTGTACAGCGGTTCATCAAACATTTCGTTGCTTCAGAGTTTCAAACACTTGCAAATGCTGCAATGAACGATTATAATGATGAAAATTTGCTAGTTGTATACAACATTTTGCTTAATAAACTCAATTTTTTTGACGGTAGTATGAAAAAATCGATTTGGCAGCGAGTGAAAGATTTGCGTTTGCACATTCACAAACGTTTGCCCAATCAGTAGCAACAAACAACTATTGCAAATGTTGCACTATAGCGTCGCTGAACAGAGCAGAGGTGGACATGGGTCCATTTTTACTGACCCAACCCAACCCAACCCATCACTTAACTCAACCCATCCCAACCCAA